TCAGAACATACAAAATGTAACAATACCTACTTGAAAATCTGCACGTGCTTGAATTTACAAAATAGATTCTCCGCTGTCGCCGCCGCCACGGTCGGTCTGGTTTGGTTTATTCTAACGTTTTCCAGTGCTGAGCGCACTCGCGCCCTGGATTGTTTGCCTGTTGGAAGTAAGTGCGGCGCAACCCATTGCTATTCTATTGTGTTAAGCATGTCGATTGTTATCAACAATATTATGGAAGCGGCGCTATGAATAAACCAGCGACACACAATTTGCTCTTACTTATGCACTATTTCCACCCGGAACGTTCTCGGATAAACAACTTTACTATATATGTGTGTGTGTAGATGGGGGTCGTGGCAGCACAATGCGCTGCATTTCGAAGCAAACAATTTATATCGATTGTAGGAGGCGGCCACCGACGAAACTGCCATGTCAGTAAACAATATTTGGATGCTGAGTGCGCGCATTCGCAAAATTCTACTACCAGTGTGTTTCTAGTTTGCGAATGTTTAATTTACATTGTATAAAGTTAAACTTACGCGGAAAAAAGTTTTCTTGTCTTTTTTTCACGAAATGAGGGTGTAAACAGACGACGGGGGAGATTTGTTGACACCTAGCCCATTGTGTTTGACTTGCAAACTTCGATATTAATGTAATTTGAAAAGTTGGCCGTGCCAGTTGACCGGGTCTCTCTTTCACCCCTTTTCGCAAGTTGGACGCAACTTTCGACGCTGTTTACTGTTTATCCCCGGTCTTACTCCCTGCCGGCTCCTCGGGGGTAATTGATAATTACGTTTTCGGCAATCGGCCTTCGCGAAGTTTCCGAAGGCAATGATCATCCCCAACCAATGGTCTCTAAACGGAGATCTTTACCGCTGGTGATCGTAATTCGATTTTACACTTTGTTTGCGCTCGTATTTAATTGCTCGAGTCAATAAATGATTTTATCGGACTTTGTTTGAGCTTTGAATTGGTTTACACTTTGCGTCTATGGTTGATTTGCGCATTTAATGGAAAAATGCTACGTCGCTCAAATCCGTCTCGCGCACGCATCCCGTCTCCAACCTTACCCCGTTTTCCGCTTTTCACGACACCCACATGGCTATCTTTTGTATATGTGTGTCTGCGCGCGCACGTTGAGATGGGACCCCAAAGCCAAAGCAATTGCCATCTCGTGGAATATCTGCGTGTTCGTAGCCGGGGCTCAAAGCTCCAATTTCTCCGGGGCGCAAGCAATCTCTTCGCGAGGCTGTGCGCGGCCTAGGCGGCCGTGACTGACGCTCAAAGCGTACGGCATTCAGTTTACTTGCCACCGGAAATAATCGCCGGGGAAGTCTTCCAATGTTATACTTATTCTTTATAGATGGGGACGGGATAGATTTTGCACGCAGCAATCTTTGTCGCGAAAATTTTCTACGGGTTACTACAGTATTTTATTTATTTTTTTATTTTGGAATACTAGCAGACTGGGACGTAAGTAAACTGTTGTGCGAAAATAAACAGGCGAAGAAGAGTCGTAGACACATTTCTCATTCGTATCTGTTTATTGATTTTGTGTTTTCTTGCGTTGTTTGTTTTGCAAACCTACATTTTCATTATTTTACCTGATGTTATTCCATTTCAATTGCATTGCAATCATAGTGAACTGCGCAATTTTAGTCGGACAGATATTATCCCAGCGGTGACATTTCATTAGGTTGATGTTCAGAGCGAAATGTCCTTGAATTGCGTACGCATATTAATCCAATCATAAAGTTAAGACACTTCGGTTTATTTCGAGCGCTAACTTAGCAACCGACATGAAGTGTCACGTCTATTCATCCAATTCAAGACGGGTGAATTTATCTCTGCAGATAAACAATTGATTTGACGTTTGGCGTTTTCTTGTCTCGTTATTCGGCGTGCTCGAGATTCGATTTGATTTGAGCCCCCAAGATTCATGGTGATTAACGAGCTGACGCGCATTTCTTTTTCGAGATACGTTTGAGTTTTCTACTTTGATGCCTTGCCTAGCAACCGTGCAGCCGCCTCTGCCGCCTCCTGTAGTCAGACGTCTTTGGTTTCAAGCATTTGTTCACTCGTTTTGTTTTCTCGCACAGTGTGTGAGTGTAAAACGTAAATCTGCCGGGTACATGTGCTGTGCGGTCTCGTCTGGCAACGGAGGCGGTTGTAGGCGGCGGCGACGGCGCGCGCGCGCTTCCCGCACTTTGCGAAACCATCATCTGTGACTGATGAGTGCGGATTAACTGTTCCGCGCTGCTCTTATTAAAGTTATCGCGGGCGCAGATTCAGCTAGCTTTACCACCCCCTAACCTCCCACCTTGCTATCCTGGTTTATGCCGCCCTTACGCCCCCGTTGAAATGTAATTAATTTATTTTTAGTGCTTGCTCATTAGGACGACATCCACGTTTAATCCATATCACTTTGGCGTGATTCCGGCGTGGGTGGTTGTGGTGGTGGTATTTGCACTTGCTCTCACCCGTCGCCGCCGCCGACCGACACTGCAATGTGCTAAGTTAATCAAACAAATTACTGTATGCACGATCACTACTAGTGCGCGGTTTTAGTCGAATAATAGAATCGAACGAGCGACAAACTAAAACTAACAAATTTCGAGCGTAAACCATAGTTTTAGCGTTGGATGAGTGTGGTGGGTGAAAGGGGGCGGCGTACTGCGGCGTTGAAATTCCAACGCTTGCTGGTTTACGACCGTAGACGTCGTAGTTTTGCGGTGGGGTTCCAAGTTTCACTGATTTTACGAATGCATCCCTTAGCCGCTGTGCTTTCAATTATTACGCTCGGGCACAATCAGAGCGATGGCCTGTCACTCGCACCAGAAGACGGGACAGTGGAGCAGTGAGTTTTAACACCAAGACGCTTGCCCTGGTCCGTTTTAATGAAGTAAAGTTGAATTAAAATTTAATTGAATGTACGAGCGTCTTCCTGGGGCTTTGTGCGCATCTTGCCCACTTCACTTCAGCGATGACTGGTGGAGTGAAGTTTGGAGAAGTGCAAGATATCAAAAGTTATCCAATTAATACTCGCGACGACAACAAGCGCCGCATATATTTATCGTAATTGATTTGTTCTACATTTAAATTTGGTGCAGCGGGGTATTTTCCGTGTAATTTTGTTACGGAATAAGTGGCAATATGTGTTTGATGACGTTATTGAAAACTTGTATATTAATTTGTTGAGGGCTCGCACATGCCAACGGCAAATTAGTAGAATATGCGCAACTAGTTTGCAAACTGCAGGAAACTGCAACTTGTTCAACACGTCGCAGCTTTCCAGGTTTACCGGTACTTGTTAGTATCGACATGTCATTCGACAACACATATTAAATTTCGTTTTAATTAATTATTACGTGCAGGTACACGGCAAAGTTTAGCATTGTTTGACGGCTATGAAATGGAATGCTTTGTGATGATGAAATCGTCAGAAAAGTGAAAATTTCTTCAAGCGTTGCGTCGTTTTGTTATTTAAATAAAAGTGATTTGTTCGGCGCGATGAACGCAAAATAACTCGTGAAATGTTCATTTTCTCGTCTGCGCGCGGCGCTCATTTCAATAATATATTAGTCTACGCCCCGAAATTAGGGAATTTTCGGTTCGTTAACTCTTGCGATAATATTAAATTCGGAAAATTTGACGTGAACGTCAATAATTTTGGTTTATTTAAAAAACGTTTCGCAAGCGACATAGGTACTTGGCATTCAACTTTGCGATCCAATTCCTCTCCCAACATGGCCGCCAGCTATCGGAGTTTATCACAATGCATGTATGCCCGGCGCCTTCACCATTTGGCGACGTTTTTGTGAGGTCGAATCACGTAGCGACTTTTAGATAACATTTGCATGAAATTTGATCGCTAAAAATTGCATATGCGAATTGTATTTCGATGATTTTACTGAAGTTTTACCCTTTGTGGTCAGACGTCAAACAATATTCGCTATTCTCTTCACGGAACAAAAGCTCTTGCTTCTTATAGATGTTGGCGCGTTACGAGGAATTTCATTTAATAATAATCATTACGTTTTAGAGCTTGTGGGCAACCCTCTCCTTAAAGGTGCCCTCGACGCACACGCACAGCCAAAATAAACCTCAACCGACGCTTGCTTGCTCAGCATGATGATTTATTCATACTTCGCCACCCATTACGCTCAACTATAGATCATAAGTGTTGTGTAGTAACCGCCCGGTAGCGTGTGGCATCCGAAAATTAATTATTAACGGCCCGCCTCGACGCGTGTGCGGTTTTTTTGAACCGCATGCGAAAATGTTAAGCGCGCAGAGTCAAGAGTGCAATTTTTGTTCAAAACAACATGTTCAAGTATTAAAATATTCCACATCGCTTAATGAATATTTTAATGTTGAAGGGTGCAGATTGGCGCGCTCGCGCGCGCATACTCTAAAAGGTATTTTAACATTTCATTAAAAACCTCGTTAAAAATTAATTAGCAGACTTGGGCGCTCGAAAATTTCGCTGTTACCGCGGCGGGAAGGTTCGAGAAAGTTGAGATAATAATAATAATGGCCATCGAGTATTGGCAGGTGGGGTAATAGTGGTAGTGTGTGTGTGCCGAATGAGGATTTCAGTTCGCACTGCGCTCTGCGAAAAAATGTATCATTAGTATCAAGTCCCAAGGCAATTAGCGAACGATCAATTTTCCGATTCCCATTACGTCTCTACATCTACCTACCTCACACCGCGTAAAGCCGGACACCGGAGTGACTGGCGTCGAGTTTCCCATGGCGCGGATGGGGTTTTCTGCAACGCTTCGGATTAATAGTTTCGGTCGCTGATTAGAGGCGTTTTTATACATTGCCGCCTTCGTTCTGGTACATTAGCGCACGATGCGGGCTCACTGCTATTTAATTTCGCATCGAAAACTAATGAAGCAAAAGAAAAATTCGTGCAAATTTTATTTTCTTCCTTAAAAGTATTGATGATTTATGTAAATATTGAATTTTTAATTGTTTTTGTTTTTATTTTTCAGTTGGTCGGCGGAGAGTTTGACATGGAGCTCAATTTCGTCATACAAGATGCTCAAAACATCCGCCACATGCTGGAGCTGCTCGATCACTGCCCACCGAATTTACAGGTACGTAATTTTTGCGCAAACAGCGCTCGAAAATGTTTCCCTTTTCTCTTTATGCCGTTCTCTATATTAGCGGCGGTGGTTTTGCATTGTTCGTGTTTTGCACGCGTTTCAAATATACAATGGCGATGTTTTGTGGTCAAAGGAATCCCACTTGTACTTTGTGAAATTCGTAATTTGAAGGGCGGACGTCACTACGGGGCCGATGCGAAAAATAATTGGCTCGCAAGCGTACGCGTATTAATGCGTCAAAGGAGCTTTGCCTTTGTTGCGGCTTTTCTTTCGGTTGTATTTTCTCGAAAAGCGAAATGGTACCAAGTCTCTGACGCGCTTCCGGCTTTCAACCGCACAATGCGGCACTGTTTTCTGGCCAACAGTAATATAATCGGTGGAAAAATAGTGGAATTAATTTTAATTGTCTTATGAATAGATAAAAGTATACTTTCGACATTGGTATGTGTGCTTGTTATTGTTATTATATTGTGTTTGTTGTTTACGATGGATATTGCGTATCGAACACACAAAGAAACGACGCGTATAATGCGCATAATGGTCACTGACGCGTGTACGCTGATGCCGGTCACATTTCAGAGGGCGAAATTTAATTATTACCGCTGACGTTGATTAACCACGAATAACCGGAGGGTATAACCGCGGTAAATACTAGCGGGGGCGCGCCTGGCGAACTTTCCATTTCCGCGCGCGCGCGCCACCACCGCCAACAGGTTACTTAATGGGCGATAAAACCAAACATATTACGGCCGTTTATACAAATGCCTCACATATTTACTACGGCACCATCGCTCTTCTTTTACAGGTATGTCAAATACCTTTCCATAAATGTTATATTTACGTTTAATGACTCAAAATTAGCGCCATCTATAGGCGAATAGTCATGAATGTAACTCAAATATTTTGCATTAATGACAGATCGCGATTGGTCACGTAATAAATGCAGATATAATTTGCATGTCCTCGACGCACGCCGCATTCCACACAGTGCGGTCTACTTTGATTTATGGCATCAATTAATGATGGGGACGCACGCTTATACAGCCTCAGTCGCCTGCAATCGTTGTCGCTCTTCTCGTCGCAATGATGATGCATGTATCGTGTTGACCTTGTTGTTTGTGCTTGATTATTGTGAATTAATTCAAACGAGGATGATAAATTATGCGTGTGAATGAATAGACTTTCAAAGCGATGCGCAACTTAACTTGTCAACTATATTTTTTTATTGATAGTGAAGAATTATTGCTTAAAATTTAAAAAATAATTCGAAATTTCATTTTGTTGGATTACATTTACAATTTAAAATCTCAATTTAGTTTTATGTAACGCAGAGCGCTAGTTACGTACGCGCGTTGATTTTATTTCGTGGTTTATTTAAATTCTCCCTCGCCCACCACCCGGCGTTGCGTAATTCGATTTCTCGTCGAATTCGGGGTTTTGGTTTTGATCTCATTTAAATTGCGCCAAAGTGTCCAATCCTGCTCCGGGCATCGATATTTTCCAAACGCGGGCGGCGGCAGGGCAGGCGGTGGGGAAGTGCGTGTGCAGTCGATCTCGCGTCCGGCGGGCGGCACGTTTCGCCTCCGATTAAAAATAAATTCAATCTAAATTTATCCGCACCATTACTCGCTGGCACGCTCGACGCGAACAGCGTATTAGTTGCGTCGCTATATCCAATTATCCGAGCGGGAGGGCGATTAGCCCATGCCACCCCCGCGTGCGCGCACGCACAGCGCCTATTTGTCGCCTGTGCGAATTTTAAGGAAGCTTTAATCCGACCTTCGATGCTTGTCTTCTACAAGACGAGGAATTAATTAAACACGGATTATACGAGCTGTATTCTTTTAATTATTATTATTTTTACAACCCTTAAGAGCTGATGCTGGCGTTCAAAGTCATAAACAATCTTTAGGTATATTTTCGCGCGTAAATTTATGACGTTGGGCGCCGGTTGAAAAAAAATTCGATCGAAATTTTCAACCCTCGTTTACGCTGGAATTATATCGGGATCGAACTCGCCGCCGCGTTTTAATATTTTATATAGTTTCCGTAAAGCGTTCGGCCCTTTTTCCACTCGACTTGTGCGGCGCCAGGACTTTCTCGATGTTTCCACCTTATTACATCGTAAATTGTTTATTAGTCGGAGGGTGAAAGCCGGTGCTGCTGCATTTAGAGAGGTTACGAACACATTAAAAACCTTCTTTGCCCGCCGCCCGCTTTTCAATATTACGCGTACTTTAATTATTGAACGCTTTGCGATTAATTCGAGCAGAAGAGATCGGAAAGTTTTGTTTCTCGTTGCGTTTTTAATTGCGCGATCGTAGCGCAACAGGTTTTCCCTTGCAATTAGTTAAATTTTCTTTGCAAGCGAGATATCAGTTTCGCAATTATTTGTTCCTGCAGCTTTCATTAAATGTACAAAGTATCTATTTTTCTTTATAATAGTTTTCATTCCTTTTGTGTGTTTTTACTCATGCTTGGCATGTTGGGAGAGCGGATAGCCTCGTTTACCACCCACCATTTTAATATTTAATATCTTCCTGCTGCGAACAATCTAAAGTTACAAACAATTTTCCTTGTACTTAATACTCTGTGTGTATATATTTTTTGCGCTGTGTGCACGTTTCAACGGTTTCTTATTGCACGGGTTTTGTGCTAAGCCGCTGGGCATGCGATTTACTCTCCTCGTGCCTTCCTTTTTGCTTTCTTTGATTCCATCGCACGCTGCTTTGAAAAACCAACAACATGTTATACCGCAACACCAGTACTACGCCAACCCCGCGACGGATGACTTTTTGGACTTATTTCTGCGACATTAATCGAAACACCACTGTAAACAGCGCGCCGGTTTTTTATTTTTTAGCATGCTTGAATGCTGGTACTTCTCTCGTTTCCGATGGATGCTTTTTCCACGTTTTTTAGCTTTTTACTTTAAGACAACCTCGAGCTATGCGCTTTTGTCGGAAGTTTTGTATTTGCCGGAATGTTTTCCAGCCTCGGCGCGCTTTTGTGAAAATGTACACCCCTCGTATTGTTTGGGGAAACTTCTTTAATAACAAGGAAACACGTTTGTTGGTGTGCTGCATACGTAAACACGGGCGGGCGCAATGTTCTTTGGTTTCCAGTTTTGCGCTTTGTTCGACCTTTTCGAGTAATTGGTATTCAATTGTTTTAGTTGCTCTCTGCAATATTAATGGACTTGAAATTTGATCCCAGGTGCTTTCAAACAAGATTTTGTGTAAAAATAAAGTTAAAAAGTTCCAATTTTGGGGTTGAAATTTTGGCACTTGATTAAAGCTGAAATGACCCCTTTTGACTTGTGATATTAACCCTTCAATATTAATATAGACTCGGATTTTTAAGCACAGTTTAGCAACTTCACCACAGACCGGAAGCAGATCCCGTGGGATATTTAATTAAACCGACAAGCACCTGCTTCTACAGCTAGCCAACATTTTTTTGGATGATCGATCCATCAATGCTTTTGAAATTAAAATCTTCCGCTTTTCAAATATTCGGACGTAAATGAAGAGTTTTTTTGCTTGCTTGTAGACTACGACAAGTTTTTTTTGTCCGCATTTTGCATTTGTTTGACTTCAAACGCGTTATGCACTTTTTCAATCTCCTCTGCCCGCAATGCGACAGCAAATTTCGACTGGATTGACGAGCGTATTTGTGCCGCGCTTGATTATTCGGCGCTATAACCCCTTCGGTCGCCGCCCCCGTTCAACACAAACAAAGTGAAGTGTGGTTTGCAAACGTGCACACGCACGCTAATTTCGTTTGGGGCCTGTCAGCGATATTATTGTCACAAGATAATTTAATTACAATGTTGACGCAGTGCAGACTGTGTGCACGTGCATTTTCGGGGGCGGATAATATAGAGTTGTATTTGGTGTGCGGTCGCGCAAAGTGCAGTTGACTCAATTTATGTCGCGTAGCTGTCAGGAGAGTTTGCAAGTAATCTTAACTTATTTCGCACATGCACAGACAGGTATGAGGAGAATTTGTACACTTTCCAATAGAGACATACCTGCGAGTTTAGTTTTGGTGAATATTCTGTAAAATTTTACATTTGAATTTTTTTTTGTGCAAATATGAAACCCTGGGCTGGGTTTGTGTTGCTTTCTACTTTATTTGAGGGTGTATATCTAAATTTTAATCTCTTAACGACGTTCGTTGTCTTAACAACGCTTTCAACTCTCCAGCTTTGCAAGCTGTAACTTTTTTCCTGTTTTCTGCTTGGCCTGAAAAGTAACAACGTTCCGTAAAAAAAACACTCGCGCGCAGTGACATAAAGAACGACGAACACTCGAATGAACAGCAGGAGCATTCTACATCGAGATGTCGCCTCCTGGGCTGCTGCCACCCACGCTTGTTTTATGCACATTCCGCGCATCACGGGCAGACATTGTTCTCGCACCAGCGTGTGCATATTTTCGCGTGAAGAATTCCTGCACCCCGCGCCACCATACTTTATATTATTCTATACTATATGCTGGTTTTCGGGGTGATGGTGGTTTTGGAATATGAAAACGTCCACGCGGCGCGAACACAGTGTGTTTGATTTATCGTACGTTTTCCGGGATTTACTCTTTTCACTCGCCGAAAGCGATATATCATACATATGCGTCGTGCTCCACCGCTTTACAACATTATAACCGCCGGCTGTACGGGAAATACAATTATTTCCTATTAGTGGAGCGCAAACTGACATAGCTTTGATCCGGCCCAGCATATTGTTAGGTTTGCATACGAATTTGATCATATACTAAATTAAACTGCATTGGTATTTTGTTGATGATGCTTTGATGTTGAGACAGAATGTTATCAATAACAATACACGATAGATAGCTGTGTATACCTGTATATAAATATATCAAATTATTTTCTTGGCAACTGGCTTCTATTGCGCGCGCTAGCCAGCATTCGAGATCATTTATTCCAGCGTCAGGGGCCGTTCGCTGGACCATTTATCTGAGGGCGAGACC